TGTCGCCGATTAGAGCGGCAAGTGTGGCAGCTGGGCTGCAGGTTAGAGACCGGGCAGGTCCGCACAGCCCTGCTGCGGAGGGAACAGCAAGAGGCTGAAAGTCAGGAAGGATGGCAAGTCCAGCCAGACCCCGCCCGTCCCATCCATCGTGTTCTTGTGGAAACTAACCAAACCGCGCCGCTGTGACCGGGACTGCTGTTCTCCGTGTTGTGATCTATCCTCTCAACAGCAAAAAGGAATAAAATACCATTTGTTTCCTAGTGGCTCTGAAGTGCTTTCCTCTGTGTAAAGAGCTTGAGCGTGTGTAGGGCCTGTGGGACACCCCCTTAGTCAGAGGGAGGTGGTGGCAGCTGGGCGGCAGCCAGGTGGTGTGTGTGGTCCAGCGGCGCGACACTGAGCCTCTCCCCTTCCCCTGGACCCCTCCTCACTCCTTCCTCCTCCAGTCGCCCCCTGCTCCTGGGTCAGTGGCCGAGGCTCTGCCCCGTGGCGGGACCTGTACCTAATGCATGTCCTGCACAGCACAGAGTCACAGTGGCTCCACCAAAGACATGCTGGCCTAGAAAGAAAGGCTCTAACCTCTCCCTTTGGTCAGTTCCAGGGCTGCCACCTAAGAACTTGGCAAAGAGGGTGTGGGTGGGTCACTTGGGTTATGATCTTACCCTTTCATCTTTCTCTAAACCCAAATACTGCCTCCTTGATGAAGCCTTCCTGGACTTCAGGTAGAATGAGCAAGTCCCTTTCTGTGCTCCGGTTCACACTGGTTCCTGCCTTTATCTTCACATTTAGTGCTCTGTACCTTGCCTCCAAACTGTGGAGTCCAGGTGGACAGTGTCCATTCATGAATCAGCTGTGGTGACACAATAGATGGCACATAGGGGCCAGGTGTCACCTATGGTGTCCTCCCAGAGATGTTCCAGTTCAGTCTTGAGAAAGTACTGTTGGCCAAATAAGCACAGCTGCAAGCTGATTCTCTGGGAGGTCACTGCTGGGCGCTGCCCAGCTCTGGGCGTTTTGTGTGTTTTTATTGCAAGACACAATTTCCAGTGGGTAAGGACTAATAAGTCTTGTTCTAAAAGAGTGCCTGGGACACCTTCACACCGTCCCCCACCCCCAAATCTTCAAAGAGTCTAGATTCTGGGAGTTGTTTAGAGCTACAGAATTGGCAGGTGCAGGTCCTGCGTGACACGGAGGTCCAGCTACTCCCTGGCCACCCCTGGGACATGCAGGGTGCCTATCCTACTTCTACAACTGCCCTGCCCTCTGCCCCCCCGCCGCCCCAGGTCTTTGAAAAGACTGGGGCTTTTCATTGAGATCTTAGCTCAATTTTGTCAGCTCAGAGATCATGGGGGCTAAAAAAAAAATCTCTGGTTGCACCTAAAGTTTGTAAATAAGCGACCATTTGTGGAACCCTCGCGGGTCAGGGAATCGACAAGTCTGGTGGCAGTTTTAGAGCTTGGCCCGAAGAAGACCCTGAGGCCCCAGGAACACAAGAGATGATGGATATACCTCTTCACATTCATTATTAAAAATAAAACGTTAAAATAAGTGTGAGGAAATCTAATGGAGGAGATTCTGATTTTTCTTACAATGATCAGGTTAATGGCAGAGAATGACGTTATTCAGCTCTGGCGCATCTAGAAAATAGTTGTCCCTCCTTTGCCAGACTGTCGGCACCCACTTATTTTCCCTCCTGATAACCCAACCTTATCTCTGAGGCAGGTAGGATATTCATACCTTACAGATTCTCTGATAAATTTGTGGCTGTTCTAGGTCACAGCCTTGAGGCCTGGAGGGACGAGGAACAGGGCCTGGCTCTCTGTCTCCAAAGCTCCCTCTGGCACGCCAGGCGGCCTGGTTTCCCTCTGCAGGAGAGGGCTGATGTCCAGAAGAAGAGGATCACAGGGCATGGTGTGACCACATCTGGAACCTGGCTGGCCCTTCAGGGCATACACCAGCTAGACTATACTCTGTGTCTTGTGGCCTGGAAATAAGACGCATAATGACGATCAAATTAATGGCAATAATATTATTATTAATAACTACATAAAGCAGCTAATATGTGCCAAACCCTGCCCATGTCACACAGCTCAAGTCATTCAGAACTCACAGCCCTACCTGGTGGTATCTCAGTTTTACAGAGAAGGAAACCATAGCTCGGTGGGACTGGCCTGAGTTTGCACTCCTGGGGACAAAGCCAAGGTCCAGCCCAGATCCATCCAGCTCCAAGCCCGTCTTGCTCTGTGCAGCAGAAGAAAGGATGTAGACCCATTTGGGTGCATATGGGAGGAGCAGAATTTGGCTTTGTGTGAGGGAGTCCCTGGTTCTCACAGCTGTGATGATCCCAAATGGGAGTGAGCTCCCTCTCACTGGGAGTGTTCAAGAATGGATCCTGTGACCAAGAGGGACTATGAGAATCTACCCGGGATAGCCAGATCTACCCAGGTCCGGGCTCAAATTGAGGACCATCTCCCCTGCCTCCACCCCACCACCCACTCACAATGGACAAGCCCTTTCTCCCTCTCTGGTCCAGGGCTGTAGAACCAGGGAAGAAGAATCCAGAATCTAGGCATGGATTGCCATTTGATGTGTGTCTTCCCTCTGGACCAATGCTCCGCGCTGGCAGGACCATGTCTGACCACGCAGCCCCGTGGCCGGTGACTGATATCTGTAGTTTGGTTGGATATAGGAACTAAGACTTGGTTATATAGGAGAGCTGCCATGCTGTGCCACTTCCCAGAAGGGAATGCTAAGTCCCCAGGCCTCAGACACTGATTCCCAGGTGTCCTGCGCATCTTACCTCCCAACTACTGCCCCCCTCCTCATGAATTCCACTCCAAGGGTTTTCAAGCCTGTTTGCATGGAGGTGTTTGTGTTATTTAACACCACATAAAAATAGGTCAATCTGCTTTCTGGGCCCCCGGGGTGTGACCCTCCTCACTACTCTGGTGTGTGTGGTTTTTTTGTTTTTGTTTTTGCAAGTTGTGGATTGGAACTTGCCAAATTGTTCTTGGAAGAGAGTCAGAGGCAGAGTGCAAGCAGCAGGGAGGGGTGGGGGGTGAGGGGGATGCCAGGCTGAAGGACATGCCAAGGTCACCGGGCTCTCTCCTTCCTCTGGGGAGGAGGGCTCTGGCCTCCCAGTGATCGTGGGCTGGCAGGGGTGGCCGGGCAAAGCCAGGGTGGAGGGCTGTCCAGCTCTATCTGGTTCACCCCACCTTGTCCCTGGCTGCTCTGCCTCACTCTGGGCCCAATGAGAGAGAGAGAGAGAGAGAGAGAGAGAGAGAGAGAGAGAGACCAGGTGTGTTTGCCTGAGCCAGGGGAGGAGCTTTGGAAATACCTGTCTCCCGGCCACAAAGAGGAAGAATGCCACCTCTCACCATTAGTGTGATTCATTGCTGTCACAGCTAAACTCCAGGGGAGCAGAATCAGCCAGCTCAAGCCAACCGGCTGTTGATTTTATGGAGCGGCCCCAGCTCTGGGCCTGCTTGCACAATAATGGGGCACCTGCCAAGGCAGTGATGGCAGAGCAGGTGATGCTGGATCGGATGTCACAGACGGCTTGGGCCAGAAGGGGTGACAGGGGGAGGGGCCCCCAGCACTGTCCTGAGGAGTGGGCTCCTGCCTCAGAGCCAGGCTTGGAGGCAGGCAGGCTGGCAGGGGCGAAGGAGGCTCAGGATATACCATGGTAGTCCCCTCTCCTCTCTAGCTGTGTAAGCTTAGGCACACCCCAGCATCTGTCATTTTCTTTGCAAAATGTAGTCCTTTCCTGGCCAGAGGGTAAGCTGGGCTCCAGTGTAACCCTGGGAAAGCCACTTCAGCCTCAGTTTCCTTACCTGTGCAATGGGCCCAGCAATACCTTTCCTGTTTCCTCACAGGTCACAGTGATACCGTGGACACACTGAAAATTCTACGTGCAGCTATGATTGTATTATTAATATGTATATTACCTCTCATTCCCTTACGCATCCTTTCTTTCTTTCTTTTTTTTTTTTTTTGCATCCTTTCTTTGATAGCAGGATGCCCCTCCTGCCTGTCAGACCTGGGTTCGAGTTCTGGCTCACCTTCATCACAGTGCAGTTTCCTTCTCTGTTAGATGGGTACTACGACACCTGTGTGGCTGAGTCATTGGGAGGAACAGAGCAGGTCCAGGAGGCAAAAGCTCTTTGGAACTCTCGAGAACCATGAAATGGATGGAATTGTTACCAAGTGAGGATTTCTGGGCACCAGACTTTGAGAAGACACAGGCATATCAGAGACACCATGAGCTGAGTTCTTGCAATAGGCCAGACTCGGCCACCTGTGAAATAAATGACAAAGATGGTTATAAAGCCAGATGTGAGCCATTTGGGCCACATCAGCATAATCCAGAAGGTCACGGAGGAAAGGCAGGAGCAGAGAGGGTGGGCTTGCTTCTGGAGGTCTTTCTGCAGGTGGTGAGCTGGGAGCTGCTTTTCAGAAATAAGGAGGGAGGGGCACCTGGGTGGCTCAGCCAGGTGTGCGTCTGCCTTCAGCTCAGGTCATGATCCCGGGGTCCTGGGATTGAGTTCCCTGCTTGTGCTCTCTCTCTCTCCCTTGCTCTCTCTCTCTCTCTCTGTCAAATAAATAAATAAAATCGTTAAAAAGGAGGGGGACGTGGTTACTAGGAGGAGAAGGACCACAGCAGGATAGAGCAGCCCCTATTCTAGTTCAAGCTCAGATGTGAGTTCTGAGAAAAGTCAAGAATGCATTTCTCTCCAGGGTATTCACTGTGGGAGAGGTGGGTCAAACAGGTTTGCCCTTGTCACCAGCTGTAGAAACAGAAGAGGACGTCCTCATCCCTTGCCAGCTCAGGGGCAGAAAGCCTCGGTGACCTTGACTTTCATAGTACATTGTCCTTTGGCAGCTCCCAGGACCTGTGTGCCCCACGGCTCAGGTCATCTTGAAGCCAACACTTAAGGAATGGACCCTCCAGGACCCACCTCCCCTGGCCTCGCCTTATAAGACCCCAGTGACCCTGGCATCTGCGGCTACAGCAGGAGACAGAGCCAACACTCCTTGGGGTTTGGGAACTCTAGGCAGCACAGATCTGGGTCTGGGCCCTGCCGCCTTCCCTGCTGAGGGGCCATGCATGCCATGCAGCTGCAGACGGACCCCATCCTGGAACCAGGGCTTTCTGGGGGCTCTGGCTTCTTTCCAGCTGCAAGCCGACACCAGGAAGACTGCTGGGGACCTGGGGTTCAAGGGTGTGCACGCTGACATGCAGCCCCAGACGTGGGGGGATAGCAGGCTGGAGAGTCCCATCTTGGGAAGGTGGGTGGTGAGGGCCTTTGCCTTTTGAGCACCAGGCAGATGATGCTCAAGTGGTGTTCCTGCCTGCTGCCTCCCTTGCCATGGAACCCAAAAGTGACCACCCAGACTATTGTCCTGAGACTGAAGATTCAGGGGACAATGGAATGCTGCCTGGGGAAGACAGGGGAGACTGAGGCATGACAACCAAGGATATTGTCCCACTGGGTATGACAGCGATGGAAGAGGGACTAGGACATGGGGCTACCTCTCCAAGCCTCCCAAAGATCTCCTTGGCTCCAGCCTGGAACAATCAGACAAAGCGAGGGTGGCTTGGGGCAGGAGTTGGGGGGTCTTGGCCTGCCCCATAGCCTTTCTGGGACAGCACTCCCACCTCATTTGGCCCCGTATCCTGAGAAAGACTAAAAGAAGAAGTGCAACCAGACCCCAGCAGTGACCAGCAGTGCTGCAGAGGTGCAGGGGAGGAGAGGAAGGTTGGGGGTGCTGGGTGGATGGCAGGTTGGCAGAGATTGTGCTGAGGGTCAGGGAGGGGAAGGTGCTCTGGGAACATGCTTTAGAGATCATCTTGGCAAGGGACTGAGCCCAGGGAGGGGATCACAGTGAGGGTCCTTGCTTCCTTGAAGGCCATCTCGGGTGTGGGTAATGAAGTCGACATTTGTTAGGACCTTCTCTGGCCAGGCCTTCCACCTACATCATTTCAATTCCTACAACAACCATGCAAGGTAGGTGCTTTGTCCCATTTTACAGATGGGAGAAGGGGACTGGAGAGGTGACCTTCCCCAGCATCACAGAGTCCACAGTGAAGAGTCAGGTTGCAAAGGGGCTCATGTGTGGTGTGTCTGTCCCAAGGGGTGCCCCGGCATGGAGAGATGCCTGGGAGGAGGGGCTCTCCTGGGCGTCTCTCTGGGGACCGTGGGTTGCGGGCTGAAGGAGCCGGGGAGAGACAGCAGGGCATCTCTGAAAGAGGGGCACCCTTGTCGCCAGTGTCAGCCAGGCCGATGACCTCAGCTGGAGGAGGACAAGACGTCTGAGGGAGGACCTGGGTGTGAGCAAGAGAGAGTAGACCTGCTTGGCTCTTCGCTCCAGGTTCCCCCTGAAAGGAGAAACAAATGCTTTCACAAAAATGGCTGCAGGTCTTTGGGTGAAGCATTGGGGGGAAGTAGAGGGTTGGGGTGAGAACTCCCCGAGGAGGACTCTGAGGGGGGGGCTGTTGGCAAGGCATGGGGGTTGCTGACCACCCCCGTCCCTCTGTGGGAGTAAACTAGTTCCTGTTACCTATTACAGGGCAGGGGATTTCAGGGGAAGAGGCTGTTTAGGCAAGTTCTGGGGCCTGTGTCACAGGAGAGAGGATTTCACATCCAGGATGTATTCAATGGTTTAACAAAACTAGCGGTCCACCCTGTGCCCAGGAATCTATGAATGAGCACAACAAACAAAAATCCTTGCTTTCCTGAAGAAAAAAAAACCCAAACAACTAAAGTAGGGATTTGAGATATTGCAGAGAGGGGGTGTGAACATTTTAGATTGGGGCGCCAGGAAGGGTCTCTTCTGAGTCAATCAACGAAGAGAGACATGAGCAAGGTTAGCCAGGAAGTTCTCCAGAGATAGAGTGTTCAGGAAGACGGAAGGGCCAGTGCAAAGGTCCTGAGGCAGGAGCATGCCTAGAGGGTGAGAAGGCCATCAAGGAGACCAGCACGGCGGGAGCAGAGAGAAGGGGCAGGCAAGTTGGAGACAAGGTCAAAGATGTCGTTGGGGCCAGATTAAGAAGTGCTGTATAGGACACAGAAAGGACTTTGGTTTATAATCTGAGCCCTCAGAGCGTTGGAACAGGAGGAGAGAGAACACTTTGTAGGTGATGGGGATGGGTGGGATGACTTTGGATGCCCTTTCCAGTTAGCCAGTCCATGGCACAGGCTCTCCACCTGGGGTCGAGATGCCTTCCTTCACAGCATGAGGGCCCGGTAGGGAACACAGAATGTGTGTAGGTGTGTGTTTGCGGGAGGGTGGGAAGGGGCTTCCGGCTGAGATCTTCACGTTTCCGAACCACTGCTATGTTTGGACCAGGTGGCTTCCGCAGTGCCATCTAGCCCCGAGATTTCTGAATCTCTCCAAGTGCCCAGCTTGGAGGATCTCAGCTCCGCAGCCCCGAGCTGCCCAGGTGTGCAGGTTCCACCTGGGAACAGGAGCCAAGGCGGGTGGTGTGAGCAGCTCGGCCCCCCGGCAGGGCCCTCAGGACAGACCTCAGCACCCCTAGATCACTCTCCTCCAGGCTAGCCCGTCGCTTCCAGAGCATCTTCCAGCCTGGAGGTGGCTCTCTGGGGGTGTCATTAGTCATCCCCTCTGGGCAGGAGACCCTGCTCAGGAGGGACGATGGGGAGGCAGCTTGTTGTCTGACTGGAGCCGGAGGTCAGAGACTGGGGAAAGAACCAGCATCTCCCAAGCCCTGCTTTCCAGGGGCCGCTCTGGGGTGGACAGGCAGGGTGGCCCACAAGTAACCGAGGGACTGAGCGGCACCCAGACTGCTTGTGGCGACCTTGCTCCAGACCATTGGAGGCCGCAGAGGCCGGGGAATAGACTTGGTTGAGCCAAGGCAGGAGGCCCGCCGTGCAGCCCGCCGTGGGCTCTGGGTCCCCCTGGGGACGGGCCCTCTGCTCCTTCCAAACGAGAGGTGCTGTCTTCCGGCCCGTCCCCTCTGGCACCAACCGGCGGCCCTCGGAGGCCTCGTTAGGCTGCTACCGGCTCCGGCCGGGCCTCTTGTGTGCGGTGGTGGGGCTGACAGCAGAGCCCGTGGAAGTCCCCGGGGGACGGGAGGGGCCCCAGCTGAGGATGGTTTGGCCACCACAGAGCTGCTCACACCAGCTTCCCCTCCTGGCCCCAGCTGCTCCCCATCTCTACCCTACTACCTGCAGCTGCTGCCTCAGTCTCCCCAGCTGGGCCCTGGAAAGCACCCCTGCCCCACCCAGGGTGGCTGCTGAGGGGCTGCCATTCTGCCCATTTCGGGGGACCCCCAGCTGCAGAATGAGATCTGGGGGCAGGATATGTCAGGGCGAAGGCCCTACCTGGCTGGAGGGTGGAGGTGCAGCTGAGTAGGAGCTTAGGAGGACCACAGATAGCTCTTGGGATCTCCCCCTATCACCCCTCATGTGATCTTTGCAGGCACCCCAGGCTTCCTGGAGGGGACCGGCTGTGGCTTGCTTTGCTTTGGCTCCCAGCTTCCCCCTTCCTCGGGTGGAAGTCAGAGTCTCTCACGTGGATCCTTGGCCCCAGCCCATCCCCGCTGGGCTGGCGGGCAGGCACCAGGTGAGGGCCCCCGCCAGCCCCTCCTCCCTGCCTGTCTCTTCCTGCCTAAGGGCCCCACTGAGCCGTGGGGGAGGGAGTGCCGCACTTTGCAGCCAGGCCCTTGGCAACCGGCGCCTCACTGCTCTCTTCCACCCAGGACGTGGCTGGCGGCTCCTGCCATGGACAGGTGGTACCTGGGTAAGTGCCCCGAACCCCAGGCCTCCCGCCCCTGCTCAGACTCGGACACAGGTGTCCACCTCCTCACTTTCGGGTGCACCCACCTGCTCCCCAGAGGTGCAGGAAAAGCAGAAGCGAGGACAGGCAGGCTTTCTCAACAAAGGCATCTCCAGGTGGAGCCCTGGACATGTGATCTCTGCTCTGAGCATCTCTGAGCTGCAGGAGCCGGGAAGACAGCTTGTCCTATCTATCCACCTGTCCGTTGGCGGGAATTCTAAAGCCAGGCTGCCGGGTTCAGGTCTTGTTTTCCCCACTCCCTAGCTGCCTGACCGTTGGCAAGTTGTCTCTCCGGGCCTCGGGGTCCTCTTCTATGAGATGAGGATGCTGACGACGGCTTCCTTACCTCTTCCTTACCTTCCTTACCGTTGTGATGATCACACGGCTTAATTTTTGTTAGGTGCTCAGAACAGGGCCTGGCACATGGCATTAAAAATGCAGATTAACAACTTGTTTTTCCTATTGTCCCTTTTGTCTGCCACCACCTCTCCCTCCGTCTACCTAAACTTTCCACCTATTTTTATATCCATTATTGCATAGAATCCTCAGTAGCTTACAAAAATGGACAAAAGGCACTAAGATACTGCGAGAATGTGTAGTAAGGGGCACCGTGTCCTGTGTGGAGAGCTACCGTAGCTTTGGGAGCACAGCTTCAGGGGTCTGGCTTTCTAGCCCTGGTTTTGTCACTAATGGGATGTTGTGGGCAAATCCCTTGATCTTCTTGGTCTGCCCAGTGGGGCTGATGCCACTGCTCTGGTCCCCTCCAGCGGTCGTTGCAGGGAGAGAATGCTCAGTCTCAGCTTCTCCATCTGTAAAATGGAGCAAGCATGGAATCAGTGGGGACAGTGCATATAAAGTGCCTGACACAGGGCGCCTGGGTGGCTCAGATGGTTGAGTGTCTGACTTTTGTTTTGTTTTGTTTTGTTTTGTTTTGTTTTGTTTTGTTTTTTTGGCTCAGGTCATGATCTCAGGGTTGTGGGATCGAGCCCTGCATGGTCTCTGTGCTCACGGGGAGTCTGCTTGGGATTCTCTCTCCTTCTCCCTCTGCCCCTTGCTCATATGTGCTTGCTCTCTCTCTCTCTCTCTCTCTCAAAATAGATAAATAAATTTTAAAAAAAGAGCCTGACATGGTCAGTCCCTACTAAGCATTAGCTGTGTTGTCATATTCTCATGAATATTCATCGCTTGGCTCTGAAAGCAGAGGAGAGTGGAATGGGTGTCGACCCCTGGTGTGCAGGGTCATGGCCATGACCTTCTGTCTCCATCTCACCCCCAGGCTAATTTTTGCTGTAGGGCAGTTGGCTTTCCTGCGCCCAACAGCTAATGTTCAACAGAAGGTTAATGCCTTTTATTTTCCAGTCGACCCAAATATGACAGTAACAGTAGTGACACTTGCTGTGTACCAGGCTCCGTGCCCTGCTCTTTACCTGCATTATCTCCCTTCTCCTCACAACAATTCCCTGAGGTCAGGAGTGGTCCCATTTTACAGACGAGAAGACTGAGGCACAGAGAAGTTCAGTAAGCCCACAGAGGCCATTTACTTAGCAAGTCAGAGAAGCCAGGGGATGAACTCACACTTGGATCCCCTGCCACCGCTCAAGGAGGGTTAACGGATGGATTAGTTCCCTTTGGAAGGAGCAGCCCATCCTTGGCTGCTGACTGCTGGCTTGGGCCCCTTGGCTACCATTGAGCATTAACCTCTTCTGGAGGCCAGTTCAATGGACTAGAACCCAGCTCAAGGTTATAAGCACCTGGAGTACCCAGCCCGGGGATCCCCAAGGCGAAAGAGGCCACCACAGAGCAGGGAGGCAGCCTCGGAGGTGGAAAGCACCTGACTTCTATACCCTAAGGCCTGCCTGTTATCTTCCACCTTGGCCCCTCACCAGCTGTGTGACCTTGGGGCAGGACCCTACCCTCTCTATGCCTTGGATGCATCATCTGGAAAAAGGGGAATAACACATGGCACAAAGAGACAACGGGAAAGTGTTTTGTGAGTTAGAAAAGAAGACATTGTCCTCGTGCTGGGGCCTGACCCCTTCCTGACGGAGCCCACGGTGCAACTGGGGCCCAGGAAAGCTAGATTGTAGAAGGAAACAGCCAGAGGCCGCAGGGAGAGAGATTAGTTAGGGATGGCTGGAGCCTTCCGGCCTGAGGTGTGAGCTGCTGGATGCAGCCCCGATGCATGAAGGAAGCAGCAGGCACCGGGCAGCAGAGGCCTGAGACGTGACTGTGCACAGTGGGCCATGGGGAGGCACCCAGGGGCAGCCTCAGGGGAGCCCTGGGTGCCAGGTAAGACCAGGCACCTGAAGCAGTGGTCTCCACAGTGGTCGGGGAGGTGGGCCACCGCTGGGGGTGGGGGCCCCTGGGGGCCCCCCTGACATGGCCCCTTGAGCTCTAGTAGACCCCAAGTGGATTTTGGAAGTGCTCCACCCCCTATTGTGCTGCAGCCCCTGCCAGGGCTTCTCTGGCAGGTGGAAGAGCCCTGTGGCCTACCCATCCCCTACCCTTCTCTGGAAATTTCCTTCGGGAGGGTTTGGAAGCTCAGCCAGCTCCTCCCTGCCCCTGCCTGCCCGCACACCTCCTGTGGCCTCGGAGGGAGCCCCTGCACTCACACGAGGGCTTCTCTTGTGACTCGGGTAAATATTACCTGGCACTGTTAATGTTTAATGCCCCCACCTCATCCCCGGCCACCTCACGGCCAGCCACTCTCCCCGGAGCGCAGGCAGGAGAGGGCAGCGGGGACCAGCCCAGTCTGCTGGGGGATGGCAGGGGTGTCGATGGACAACGGTGAGTGTGTGTGTACGTGTGTGAGGCAGGTGGTGGCCTCTCCCTGGCCCATCCTTTGGAGGGATGAGTGGGGCCACCTGGTGCCCCTGCCTTCCGGAGTCCCAGCACCCCTCCCCCATCCTTGCCAGCCTCCTAAGAGGATTTTCTAAAAATTGCCTTGAAAAGGGGATCCTGCTTTAACTTCAAAGGAGTATAGCTCGACAGACAGAACCCTGGGGGCCAGGTGAGAGCTGGGGTGTGGGGGTGGGGACCAGCTCCCATCCTGACCTTCTGGCATGCACCTATCCCAGGTCAGGGTATCTTTCTGGACTGTTTAAGCTCAGAGCAGGAGCTGGAGGGGCTCAGGCTGGCTTTGGGGCCAGAGCTCCCAAGTGTGGGATGCCCCCAGAGGGATCGCATGATGGGGGTCACTTGGGTCTGGAAGCCAACAGGGCTATCTGTTGACTCTGGTGGGCTTAGAGCCAGATCTAAAAAACTTGAGGGTTTGGTTGGGGGGAGCTCATCGAATGGCTCCAGACAAAGGATGAGGGAGGAGGCGGTTTCCTGGTATGAGGGGAGCCACCAGCCTAGTCATGGTTCTGGTGCCAACTCCCCCATGTGACCTTGAACAAGACCTGAACTGAATCTTAGAAACAACGCTGATGGGCTCCTGCATGGGGACAGGCTCCTGGGCCCCCATAGCCACCTCCCATAGGACCAGGCACTGGCCCCTCCTGGCCGGAGGGGCTGCCCTGGGACAACTGGGCTCCCCAGGCCCCAAGGTCACCCACTACCCGGGGCATGGTTCCGTACAGGGCCAAGACGGGGCTCGAGCAGGGCAGGAAAGAGGGGCCATCCTCCGACAGGGCAGCAGAGCTCTGGCCAGCGCCCTTAGGCTGCCCCGAAGCAAGCATGCTCAGTTTGTAGGGCTGGAGGGCAGAGTTGTGACACCTGGTGCTGAGCAGCACCTTCTCGGGTGGGCGAGACCCCAGAAAGCTCGGGGACTGGACCACACTTGTCCTGGAAATGCCTCATGCCTCCTGACCATCTGAGAGGTGATGTAGCAAAGGGGTTAGGCTCCTGCACTCTTAGCAATCTATTGTCTGGGTTCAAATCCCAGCTTTCCACTTCATGCTGTGGAACTGTGGGAGCATCGCTTAACCCCCCTGTGCCTCCAGCTTCTAGGGATTGTATTGGGGTCATATTCATGCTTCATGGGGAGAGGTTGCAATGGTTAAAGGAGCTGATGTTTTCCTAGCTTTCGCCTGGCATGTGGTAAACACTATACATTGTTTCTTAAAAGAATTTGCTTCCCTTTGAAGATGGAAACATAAGAAAGAAGGATCTAGAAACCCGAGTCCAAGACCCAGTTCCGCCCCCAGCTTCCGTGGGGGACTTTAAGCAGGTTCAGTTTCTCCTTCTTCTGTTCCGTGGAAGCGAAGGGCCTCTCTGTCCTTTCATTCCACAAATATTTGAGATGCATCTTGCAGTTGATTAGTCTACAGGGAGAGAGAGGCTACGGGTGAGTCCGACGGGAGAGGTCTCTGTCGACCTTCCTACCACCGCAGGAAGCAAGGAGGGGAAAGAACCAACCCACCCAGGGTTGCCAGAGGCCCCGCAGGCAGCACAGCACCCTGCTTCGGATGCTCGGTGTGTGGTCCCGGGTTCACTGTATCCAAAGCGGCCTAGGACGGATGCTCGCACCTGCAGTGGCCTTAGCAGGCCCACCTCTTGCCCACCTGGACCCTTGGGCCCCTGGGATGGGAAGGATGGGAGTTCCACTGTTTCTGTGGCTGGCTCAGCCTGCCTCTGGCTCTCCCCTCAGGTGGCAGCCCGAAGGAGGACGTGGACCCATTCTACTATGGTAAGTCTGGTGGGGCCCCCTCCCCGCCTTCCTGAGCCTGCCACCACCCACAGCCCCCCAGCTGCCCCCCTCTCCTGGTTATCTTTCCCTGGTAGCCTGGGGCTGTTGCTGGGGTGGGCTGTGGGGAGGGGTGCCTGGGACTAGCCACCCACCTCCTTGCCCCCTCCTTCTCAGACTACGAGACTGTCCGCAACGGGGGCCTCATCTTTGCTGCCCTGGCCTTCGTCGTGGGGCTCATTATCATCCTCAGTAAGTGGGGCTGGTCTCCTATTGGAAAGGGCTGCCACAGGGGGGCCGCATGAGTACTGGTGCCCCAGGTGGGGGTGGGGGAAGTCCTCTCACCCCACTTCCTAGATGCCAGAAGGGAAGTGAGTCTCTCCACTTCCCCCACTCCCCCATGCAGGGTGACGCAGGGTGCAGTACTGAGGGCCACCCCATAGACCCCTGCACCTTGGGACGCCTCCCTACTGGGTCCCTGGACCACGCAGAGGGAATCCCCTTTCCTCCCGTGCGCCCTCTGGTGGCACTGGGAGGGGAGAGCCGGCTGCGTCCAGCCTGGGACACTCCAGCCATCTGGGGTTCAGGGCAGAAGAGGGAACCGAACTCCACCGGACACCTCCCTTGGCCGGATCTGGGCACTCTCCCTTCCTGGCATGAGCTGCGTCTGAATCCAGTTAATCCTCTCAGCAACACGGAGGCATGGCCACTACGGTCACACTTGTCGGAGGAAAAGCTACCCACCACCCACCTGGTGACAGGTGCACCAGCTTGCCCCTGTGGTTCCGCAGCCAATCTGAAGCAGAGCCGAGTGCAGCTGACCCCAGGGGTGTCGCCCTCCTACCCCACCTCACCCCACCCCATCGACTGCTGGAAAGCAAGCGTGCCTGGGAGCCAGGGCATTGGACCCCACTGCTAGTTTACCCGTGTGTGGACCCCTGACTCCCTGGGCCTCAGTTCGCTCATCTGTTAAATAGGGATGATCCTACTTATCTCATAAAATTAGGGCTAGCGTCCAAAGACATGGCAGCCAAGGAAGCACCCAGACATAGGCACAGAGTGTTCTGGAGGAGAGAGAGGTCCTTGTGTATCTCCCAGCCCCAGCAGGCACACAGCAGGGGCTTAGTAAATGCTTGTGGACTTGGTCTGGTGCCGCCAGAAGAAAAATAAACAGAAACACGACCTCCTCTGGGGCCTGGGATCCTAGCACATCCACGATTAGTGCCATTCCATCTGAGGGCCTCCGTCTGCAGACACGGCTGCTCTCGCCAGCTCTCGGAAGTGTCTTGTGGGCCTGCACACAGGTGCAGGGGGCGGACAGGCCTGAGCAGAGATCTTGGCTCTGGACTTCCAGATGTCCTCCTCCGAGAGCGTACTGAGCAGCTACTCTGTCCTCAGCCCCATGCTGGGGGCACCGCCCTGGCCCAGGCTCGGTCACTGCTCGGTGCGCTCACAGTCTACCAAGGAGCCACTTCAGTAGATGTTTGTTGATTGACTGACAGACCAGCTGACTGAATGCTTATGGCCCAGCCCTATATGCAGACCGAAACAGTCGGGGGGCGGGGGGCAGAGACTAGATGCTACAGTGCTGCATCCTTCAGGGCAGAGAGGCTCACCTTGGAAGCAAGAGTGGATGGGAACTCTTCTCTTTTCTCTCTTCAAGGTAAAAGACTCCGCTGTGGAGGCAAAAAGAAGCACCGGTGAGTGCCGGCCGAGGGTCCTGGAGTGAGGGGGGGACACCAGGCCAGGGGTGGGCGGGAAAGGGGGGCCAGGTCTCCCAAGCCTGTGAGGAGGGGTCCCAGACCTCAGGGGCCCCAGACTCGCCACCTCCCCCTCTAACCTCCTTACCTGTCTTTCCCTCCTCACCCCAGGCAAGTCAATGAGGATGATCTGTAATGACAGGTAAGCTGGGGAGGGACAGGTGAGGGGGGAGCCAGCGATGGCTGTGCAGAAAGAAGGAAAGCTGGGAAGAATGTCAGGTGGTCTGCAACCCACCCTGGGTTTCCAAAAGATGGCCAAGCGCCTGGGGTGGCGTGGGTGGCCCAGGGAGGGGGCAAAGAGGAAGGTGAGATGAGGAAGGCATAAAACAAAAATCCCTGCAGCCCAGATCCCGTCTTTGTCTTTTCAGAGTCAGCGGTGCTCCCCGGGCAGGGGGGCCTTTTGGGAAGCCTTCCCTGAGCTGGTGACCTTTGTCCCCAGCATGGCCAGGCTTTGGGGCTGAAGGAGGTGCCAGGCTCCACGTGACCTCTGGGTATGCTCGGCCTCCTCCCACCCAGGCCGCCTCATGTTAATAATAAAGCCAGCCTCAGAGAGGCTCCTTCCCGGCTGCCTCCCTCCCTCCTTGGCTCCTGTACCTGCCGTGACCCACTCCCCTTCCCTTCCGAGCTGGACTACAATACAGCCCAGTCTCTTGGTTTTCAGTGACTCGCTCAGGTGCCCATGTGGCAGGAAGTTCAGTATGACAGTCACAGGCCTCTCCTTGACCCCTGAATTGCCAGGAGCCCCGTGAGCAGAGGACTCAGCCTGCCTTCTGAATGCCAGGCGGAGGTGATGCGTTCATGACAATTGGGTGCTCCTTGGGTATCTGCTCAGGCCCTGGGTGCTGATCCCGGAGCCAGGGTGTGGATGGTGAAGGTGTGACCTTGGCACCCTCTCTTCTAGCCCCATCCACGCTGGCAGGCACCCACCCAAGCACAACTTGAGCCACGAGGGTGTCAGGCTGCCTCTCCTAGCAGCCCCCGACTTCCTAAAGCCTGTGGCCCCCTTGCAGGGCAGCGTGCTCCCCTCTGGCAGTTTCTGCACCCAAAGGAGCCTATCTTCCCCTCTCCTGCTCTTCCTGTGGAAGGGATGGGGTGGCTGGATCATGGCACCACCTAGTGTCCATTTTCGTCATCCGGGTCTGTAGGCATGACGGGGAGGGAGAGGAGAACTTGGCAGGGGAACCCTCACAGCAGCACATTAGTGGAGTTTAAAATGAACTGGGGTGGGGGTGGGGGGGTGGTCGTGAGTTCAAGCCCTACGTTGGGCGTGGAGCCTACTTAAAATTTTTTTTTAAAAAGTTAAAACATTTAAAATGAGCAGGGCATGTTTGGGGCCAGAGGCAGAGTAGGCCACCGTTCCATTTCAAATTAGTTTCCTTGCCTTATCGTACCGCTCCCAGGTCCTGAAGACCACCAGCTGTCACAGCGTCCCAGAAGGCTTCGACACGCAAGGTCCTTAGGGAGCAAAATAGACAAGCTGCACTTTTCAGAAAGAGAGACTGAGGCCCTGGGAAGGGCAATGACATGTCCAGGTGACACAGACAGCCCTGTATCAGGGCCAGAGCTAGAAACCAGGTCTCTGGTTCCCATTCCAGCATTCTTCTCCTGACACCTGGGGGTGGTGGAGCAGACCCCCCACGGCCCCCCCCATGGGCTAGGAAAGCAGAGGGAGAAGAGAGAGGGTCTGGCTGCCTGCAACTTGGGGCCAAGGTCTTTGTGACACCCTGCTCCAAATGTGGGCTCCCCTAGGACAAATAAAATGTGACAGGCTGCACCCTTAGATGGAATACAGTATTTCCAGACACAAGATGGAGCACGTACTTGACCTGCCCACGATGGAGGGAGAGAGATAGGTACAGGCATGGGGTGGGTCTGGCCAGGGGCACTTTCCCGAAGGAGGCTGGGTCCTGAAGCTTCTTGGATGAAGCAGCAAGACAAAGTGGAGGAGGGGGTGTTCTAGGTCTGTGGCCCACCTGGGAAGAGATAAGAGCAGTGCAGAGGGCTTACACTTCTAGAATGTTCTATCACAGACCTCTGAGGGTACCAAAAATGGAAGAGAACTCTAACTGCTCCACTGGGGAAATGGTTCCAGGTGCATCACTCAGTTCTCCCAGCCCTGGTGCAAATCCTCCATCCTTGTGAAATGTGAGGCTGTGTTGGGTCTCAGGTGGTGTACCCCAGAGAACCCAACCACCAGACACCCAGCATTCTCTGCAGACTTATCGAATATGAATCTTGGGGTGGGGCCCCTGAATGCTGATGCTTAACAAGCTCCCAGGTAGCCCTGGAGGGTAGCTGGGGCTGAGAACCACGGATCTAAGTGACATTCTGAGGTCTGTGACCCGTTCCTGGTCCAGGGTCTTTATGAATACTTTTCCTTCCCTCTCCACAAAGGCCACAGGGACTGAGAGCTACTGTAAGTTCACTTCACTCTGGGATTTTTCACGATTCAGACACAAATTGGGTCATAAAGAGCAACCAAGCCTGGTAGTGGTTGAATGAATTACTCTCCACCAACAGCGATAAAACCCCCTGGTCGGAGGCCATGCAATTCCCATTATCACCACCAGAGAGCGCATGTGTCTTAGTCTAAAAGGTCCTTCAAATTTGGTCCTTTCCAAGGCCTGGGGCCCTTTGCTGACAGTTGGGCTCCCTGAATGGTCTTCCAGGCTTCCTGGGAAAGCTGCGAGAGCTCTTCTCAGTCTGTTTGCACGTCCCTCAGGTGTAACAGGTGCCCTATCCGGGGTGGTTCTTGGCTGTGGGTTGCGGGCCCTCTCCTTGGGGAAGGCAGTGATCATGTGTGGTCTGCACATCTCCCCCAGTGCTCGGGGTAACCACAAAGCCTCTAACCCCATAGTCTGAGCTAATCAACGTCATGAGCAGGACCTGAGAGAGGCAGAGGTGGCAGGTGGAAGAGTTTGGTTGGTGGTCTGAGTGGCGCCGCCCAACAGAGATCGGGCCACAGAGACTCTGGCTTCATGGATGAGATGCTGGTCATGCTTGACCCCCACCCCCACCCCCACCCCCCAGGAGAATTCATTATGGAGGCAAAGTTGCAAGTTATTGGCCTCCTAGCTGGGCACAGCTAGGGGGTGGGGTGGGCGATGGGAGGCAGGGGGAACAGATATGAGGTGGAGACTCAGAGGGCCCAAGCAGACTTGACCAGCCTCACGGTCTGGGGAGAGGGCCAGGCAGCACCACCTGCCCAGTGGTGGCCTCACCCCGGCGCCCTCAGGAAACCCTGCTCTGGCTTTCAGGGTGTAAAAGGTACGCGCTGGCCTTGGATTATAATCCTAGGGTCATGGGGTCTTCTCCTGAGCCTGCCCTGCCCTGGCCTTCCCTCACAGCCTGCACACACAAGCAGAGCTGGGCTCAAGGTCGGGGGTGGGGGTGGGGCAGTGCTAGCTAGTGGCCCCATCAGTCAGTGGTGCCCCTGTCCTCAGCTGCCCGACCTCACCCAGCCTCTGTGCACTCGGGCTTGGGGAGCTCCCGTACGTGCGGAGTGGGGGCTGAGAAAGATCCAGGGTGGGGGAGCAGGAGATCCCCTCTTGGATCCTCTGGCTCGGTGTCCTGGGCGGGATGGGGAAGCTCTCCTCCCTGCACTTGGTTTTCCCCATCAGAGGGACGGAGGGCCTGGACCAGATGGTCCCTAATCCTACAGGTACTGAGATGACCTCCCTTCCAGAGTGAGGGTACCTCTGCCACGGGCCTCTGATTTTCTAAACTTTTGGACCTCGGGAGACTCCCCCTCATCCCCAGCAATCCCGAACTCTCCTGGGCTGAGCAAGGAGGGGTGCCCCAAAGAACCTGCCCAGAGCTTCTACTCTGGTCCCACCTCTGTCGGAGGAAGTGGGGTGTCTGGGCAGACAGGGATGGAACGGGGGCTGGAGGGCCTAGCAGAAGAGGGCCCAGAGCAAAGGGGAGTTGAGTCTCCCCCCCCCCGCCCCAGGTGCTCCCCTTAAGGGCTCCTCCTTGCTCCGGCTGGCTGCCACTGGAGGGACGAAAGGCCTCCCTGTTGATCTGCGCCTCCAGGCAGCTCAGCCCAGAACTGCAATTCAGCTGAGGCTTCTGGGGCGGCAGCGGTGTGCCCCTTCTCCATCCTCTGCTGGACACGCTCCTGGCCAGGGGGAGATCAAGGCAAATGCCACAGCCGCCAGGCCTTGTCTGGTCGTGGAGGTGAGTCCGCAGCTGGGAAGATGGAACAGGTAGGGACTTGGGGCCAGGACCACAGGGGCCTCCATCCAGGCCCTCGGTAGGGCGGTTCTGAGCCCTGAGCTGGCCTGTGAGAGCCAGAGGGGCACCCAAGTGACCCAGCCATGGAAGACAGCCCTGGCTGAGGCTCTGTGCCCCCCTTCCAGACTGGAGACACTTGACAGTTTGATGGTTGAGCCACTGAGGGCTTGGGAAGACGTCCTACTTAGAACTTGGGACCTCAGTGCCCAGGACTTCAGCCCAGACACTAGAGGGGTTGGGGAGCGGTGAGGGAGACCCAAGTGAGGGGTTGTCCCTCCAGGTGTGGATGGGCTTCGTGACTGGAAGGAGCTGCCTGGGGTGGGGGTTGGGCAGCCCCCAGGCTCGCTTTGGCAGCTTATTTTTTGTTAATCTATTTATTTTTTAAAATATTTTAATTATTTATTCATGAGAGACACACAGAGAGAGGCAGAGACATAGGCAGAGGGAGAAGCAGGCTCCCTCCGGGAAACCCGACGCGGGACTCGACCCCTGGACCCCGGGGTCACACCCTGAGCCACAGGCAGACACTTAAGTGACTGAGCCACCCAGGTGTTCCTGGCAGCTTATTTTTCCAGCGTGTTGGCCTGCCTGTTCCCACCCTGGGTGACTTCCCCGAGTCCTGCTCCCCCAAACCCAGAGGCCCCCAGGTCTGCGTCTGTAGAGCTCTAAACTTGGTTCCCTTCTCAAGAAATTCTCCGTCACTTCCCCAAAGGGCGTCATCAGGAGGGGTTCCCCAGGTGATGGTGGCAGGGGAAGGCAACGTGGGGTGGAAGCTCCGAGCTGAGGCAGTCTTTTGTGGCCTTGGGGCCCCAGCAGTTCAGCGTAGCCGGTGCCTGAGAGGTGGAGAACTGGCCTCTCTGGTGGCTTTGCCCTCAGCCTGCTGTGTGACCTTGAGAGGGCCCTAGACTGTCTCTGGGCTTGGGTTCACGAAAGGCAAACACAAGACAACACCCCAGGTCTGGGCTTCAGAAGCCAAAGGGCCAAAGGAAAGGGCTAATGGGGGGGCTTTAGCAGTTCCCTTGTTGCTTCCTGCCCCCAGGAGAGCCGTGCTCAGAGACAGCTGCGTGTGTGTACTTGTGTGTGCGTATACACACTTGCTTCCTCCCGGTGGTGAGAGCAGAGGTACCCTGCAAGTGGTGAAGGCAGACAAAAAGCCACACTCGACAAAGCCTAGGAGATGAGGCTGGCTTGGCCCCGAGCCAGGAGCATGTTGAATTCTCTCGTGGTCTTTGTCTCCTGAAAGGCCAATCCATCAGCAACAGAGTCGTGCCAAAGCAGCCTGCATGGGAGTGGAGTGTCCTCTGCTCTGAAGTAAATAATATTTCAGGTCTCA